CTTTCTGTGGAGAACTTAGCATGCCAAAAGAAACAAGCAAATTAGTTAAATTTTTATTACTTTTCTGTGTCAGTTGTTATTTGCTTGTTTCCAGCGTAGAGTCATCAATATATTTGCTCTGCTTTGTGTTACGAAATGGACATTCCTGCTGCTTTGCTATCATCTTAGCTAACTGACCTCAGTTATAGAGGCTATAAAATGGAGAGAATCTTTGGGTGTAGGACCTTGTTGCATTGACCGTCTGCTGACCTGACACATTTGGCCATGAACCTAAGAGCCTCACTGCTGCTATTACCCCCACCCTCTGATGGACCCCACGCACCCTATGCATTGCTATAGCATGTTTCATTATTTGCAGGGTATTGTGAATGACTCTGGTATGTGTGCTTTGAACTCCACTATCATATTAGACATTCTTTAAATCCATAGGGAGCAATCCATTCTAATATTGAACTGCTGGAAGCTTGCGTCATAAAGAGACCTTAGTTTAAGAGGCAGTTCTTGGAGGAGCTTGAGCTGAATTCAGTAGGTTGTAATACCTTGTGCAGTTGTGATAATGCTCGAAATGATTTATGAAGGAAAATCTCATCATCTAGTGTCTGTTGTTTGTTTTGCTAGTCTTCAGTAGTGATCTGGTCCCTGTACTGAGGACTGAGTTCATCATACCCAGGGAGCCATTCTGTTATCAGGCTTCTCTTTAGTGCATGGCTATTCAACTAAGAAGTTAGTTAGGGCCAGATTTTCAAACCGAGGAATTTATCTGGGCCAGATATTTTTTTGCAGCCAGTAAGCAGCAGATCATGATCAATTTCAAACCCACACAACTGTTTTGAAAAACAAGTAATTCTTTTTATTCCTTTTTCCCCTGTAAATCTGGTGACCTCTCACAAATGCACATCAAAAGGTCCGTTTAAAAAAAAAAAAAAAGGGAGCTATAACTAAACTATTTTTTTTGCACATTTGAAATAATAATAATAAAAAAAAACATTTTGATAATTCCCTTTCAAATTAAAATAAATATTTTGCTGACCACTCACTTTTCCTGCCATGGATGGAGCCCATCCGTCACAAGTATACAGACACGCTTCATATCCAGACCATTTTCCTCAAAAAGAGCTGAAATCTTCTCAAACATTATTTCACCAGCTGTGTGTCCCTCTAACGGTAGCAAGCGAGCAATTTCCCATCCAAAAAACAGACATATACGCACAACTGTGCATTATCAGTTCTGTCTGTGATCTCCTGCTATAGA